AGATGTAACATGGGAGGATTTGTCTTGCCCTTTGAGCAAATGACCTCCGCCTTTTCTCGTGGGGGTGTCCTTTTGAGGGTTAAAAGTGTCCTTGGTGGGCGGGCTGAGCTGCCGACATGCACCGAAGTGCGGAAGAAATTTAGAAGTTGCATGAGCCATGACAACAAGCCCGTACATTACAGACAAGAATGGGTGTGAATCTCAAACCCAAAAAGGTTTCTGATTCACTCACCAATCGAAGGGTAAGCATCGTAATCAGTTCGAACAATCCAAAATCGACAATCATAACATATGGATACCCACACACATCGCACATTACAAACCACGAAATGCACGTATCTAAGCAATCAAAAGCACATCCGCCGGAGAAAAAGAGGGGGAGGGGAACCTGCAGTGGAGCAAGTCAACAAGCAAAGCACAGGAGCGAGCAGTCGAGCGAAGGAACGAGCAGGCGAGCGACCGATGCGAAGCTTCACGAAGGGAACGAGTAGTCAAAAAAGGAGAGCAGTTGAGCGAGAAAGGAGAGGCCGTGTAGTGGAGTGAAGCATTCCTGGAGGATAGGGTTTCATTTTTTAAAAGGAGCAAAATTGGATTTTCAATAATCTTTCGAGGGCAATAAAAACAACAAAAACAACAAGCTAAAATTCATTAGTTGATGGTTTCAGCATGCCGAAAATGCTGAAAGTTTAAAGTAGGTTCTCATTTGTCTTAGACTTTCGGCTTTCTCAAGGCTGGTATTTGGCTTAAAGCCTCTTGAGAAAGCTTTCCAAAAACCTCAAAATTATCCTAAGGGTTTTAGGAAAAGTTGAACCAAATGCAACATGTGTGTATTTGGGCATGTGGGGTCTTGTATGGCATTCTCTTAGGATCGACGCCCTTGCGGGTTGAATAGTTGTTAAGCCACTTTAGTGGGCTCAAGGCCCACGATTGGAAGTGATTTTTTTTTAAATCTCGATGACTTAATTCTTTTTTCTCAAAAGAGTTGTCAGTTCAAATTAAAAATCAACTCTTAAGTTGAACCATCGAACTCAAAGCAGGAACTGAGAACCAGACAAGTTCTCACTGGAACTGGTCTAGAGCCAATCCAACTAGGTTAATTTCAACATATTCCTTGATTGAATGGGATTCAATGCTCACTCCTAAATGGTACTGGCGGGAGTAGAACCGAGTGCACTTTTAAATTGTAACACAATCGAACCAACGTCGCAAACGAAGCAAGGTTCCTTGAAGACGAAGAGTTACGGAGGATTTCAACCTGTGATCAAGTGCTTCACGCCACCTGAGAGTAGCATTTACACTAGAAAATGAAGATAATGAAAGGGGGGGAGGATTTCAACCTGTGATCAAGTGCTTCACGCCACTTGAGAGTAGCATTTACACTAGAAAATGAAGACAATGAAAAGGAGGGGAGGGGTGTTCAGCGTGACTCGTGGCTTCCACACGCCTCAATCAATCACGCCGTTTTTCGAGAAGCCCCAAACCAATGGGCCCAGCAAACAGAGCATCTTTCGATTGATTAGTCCAACTTGTGAATTTGGAAGTACGGAATTGGGCCGTTTTCTCACTACGCTTGTGCGTGCACTTATGAAAGAGAGAGAGAGAGAGAGAGGACTTACAATGCATCTGAATTTTTTGAGTTTTCGACAAAGTTTTGCCCAAAAAGAGAAAAATGACACAAGGTGAGTGAGAGAGAATAAAGATGTGAATGTCCATTTGGTTGTCGGTGCTCTAAGAGGTACGTTGAAATTTAAAGCTAATAAAGTTAATCTAGTAACTGATTCGATAGGACATAGGAGCGGTCATTTCTGGCCTTGATATTCCTAATTTGTGCGCCAACGCCTTACTTATATATCAAGTGTATTGATTCCAACAACTGAACGTACTATAATAATGGTTCGCTTTAATTAGTGGCAGGAGTTGTTGTTGGCTAAGTGGATCGTGCTCGTGCTCCTTTATTGGACGCCGTGCGTTCCGGTCTCGACGATTTGATTTGTTTTTTTTCATAAAAAAAGAAAGATCAATTCAAATTGGGAATCGATTCTTGGATTGATTCTTGGATTGAACCATTGGTCTTAAAGCAAGAACTGAGGATCGAACCGATTCTCACGAGAATCGGTCTGGAACCGACCCAACAAGGTCACTTTGACGACCCAACCAAGTTAGTTTCAATATGTTCCGGTATTGAATCGGATCAAAGTTCACCCTTAACATTATTAGTGGGAGTAGAGCTGCGACACCTTTAATTCACAACACGATCCAAACTTAGGTCGCCGAATCAAGATTTTCTTGTAATCGAAAAAAGGATGCAGAGTTTCAAACCTATGATCACCGGCTCCAAATTATAGGGTGTAACTGCTACCCTGCTAGAATAAGTGCCTCGCCTAGACCGTAGTTGAATTACAGCTATGAAGTAAATGCCTCGACTTGATTAAGTAAAAGTTTCAAACTTTTTGTAGATGCGATCTCCTCTTTTGACACGCAAATCCAGCTCATTGGAATGTGGTTTCATTCGTGCATCGATAAATGGAGCAATGGAAGAGGGCTGGTCAGACTTCAAAGTGCTCGTGGCTTGCACACGCCTCGATCGCCCGGCCCCTCGAGATGTCCCCAAAACCAAATGGGCCCAGCAGAAGGAGCATCTTCATCGATTGTGTTAGTCCAAGTTGTCCATTTGGAAGTTTACCGATTTGGGCCGTCTACCCACCACGTCTGTCTGCGCGTTCACTTTTGAGAGAGAAAATGAATTGAGTTTTTGCCAAATTTTTTGCCAAAAGGAGGAAAATGACACAAGGCGAGTGAGTGAGAGAGAACAAAGAAGTTAGTGTCCAATTTGGTCATTAGTTCTTTAAGAGGTATACTGAAATTTGAACCTCATAAAATTTGAGATTAATATCACGAAAAACCCCCAAATTGATATACTTATAACAGATTTACTCAAAACTAAGTTTTGGATCACCAAAAATCTCAAATCGGTACACTTGTGACAAATTTGCCATAAACTTACATGGATTTTCACATAGATCTGCCATGTCAATTGAGTTATTGTCAAGTGTCGTTCAACTTAGCAATTTCATGGTAAAACTTAATGGAAGTTAACGCAAAGTAAATATGTCACGAGTATACCGGTTTGAGATTTTTGGTGACCCAAAAATTGATTTGTGATAAATTCGTCACAGGTTACCGATTTGGTATTTTTTTTTATGGCCCAACAATTAGTTTTGAGTAAAATTGTTATAAGTGTACTAGTTTTTGATTTTTCGTGATATTAATCCTAAAATTTAATCTAACATAGAAATATCTTTGGTCTCGATATTCCTAATTTTACCTTAACGCCTTATTTAGGAGTTGTTTGTCTTGACGTATCAAAAGTCAAAAGTAATTATGTTACTCTTTTTTGTCAAAAACCTAGATATGATCAAAAAATTTTTTTTTAAATAATGAGATCCATGTGCCAAATTCATATATTATGAACATTTTGTGGAGTCCAGATCAATAAAATCAAAGTGGATAAGTCGTAAGATTCGCAAAAAGTTAGAAAGTATGGATCATCACACCATTGAAATCGATGACTAGGGTCAATGCCTCCCCAATTTTGTTATGCATGAACCATACAATAGTATGTTGAGTAGAAATGTGACTGCGGCGTCAACTTATAACAATTGAAGTAGGATTCCCAACCTTCTTAGGGGGCTAGAGGTGGAGACGTTTAGTTTTAGATGTGGGTTTTAACTCCCACGCTCTATAAAAAGATAGGACAAAAATCTGAAAGTGAGTTGAGAATTAGAGTAAGATAGATAAAAAAAAAAAAAGTTGGGGCTGTCCCATTCTAATGAGAAATGGCTTAGGTTAGGTCATTCTTAATGAGAATCGCTAAAGTAAATCAGATTTCGTGTTCGACCAAAAAAAAAAATCAGATTTGGTGAATATGTATTGTCATCAATATACAAATGTCTTTTGCCGAAATTGAAAGAGCTCTACCTCCTTTCGCTCATCAGAACTGTACCCACATTCGACATGAACGCTTTTTACAAGTAAAGTGAATATGAAAGAGGATGAAAATGTAAGTGATATTAGTAATTTTGAACGAGGATGTCAACTTGTTAATCTCTCTTCCTAGCACCTGTCAAATGTATTTTGGTGTTGCGTCTTGCATACAAATGACAGTATATGTATGCTTGTTTGAAGAGATGAAGGGTAAAAAAATTTTGTGCAAGTCGTTTAATGTTATAAATACGATGTTATTTTACTCGACAAAATATTCGGATGTATATTGAACGACCTCTACTTTTGAATTTTAACCTTTTCTAAATTTTATGGAACTTGAACCGACTTTTATTTAACTTGAAACATTTGAAAAATTGAAAATTTTCTAAAAATTTAAATATTGATACGTAGATTCGTGTACGATTCTTTCTATAATACGTGAAAATCTAAATGAAATATTTTTTCTTTCAAAATTTAGAAACGAAGCCAACTCAAAAGTAATTGATAAATATGTGATTTCATGCCTTTAAATGGGTCATACTCAAAATTCAACAATCTTCCACCCAATTTTAAAAACTCCATTAAGTAAATTTGTTTCGATATACCCATTATTATTATTCTACTAATTTATTCGTTTCGTTGTATGGCTTTGGACAACTAAAACGAGCGATTGCTTTGATTTTTTAGAAATTTAATACCAGTTAGATTTGGTGAATGTATATTGAATTTTTTCTATCGCACTCACATGATACATCGGATCAATCTAAGCTATTACGATTTATTATGAAAATATAATAATCACACCAAATCCTCCTGCTCAAAGAGACAAACTAGGATTCTCTTGTCCTTTTTCCTGCCGGGACCGCAATGGAGACATCGACATTCGACAGCACCACAAAATCAACACTTATTCAAAGTTTAGCGTAACGCGTAGTTTACCTAGTATTTCCCGACAGTACGTACACACACGTTAAGACATACGTACATGTATTGTTTATATGCGTATCCAATAGCTGCATCAATGCTTTCTTATCAAGATATTGATGTCAAGGGGCAAAAGGAGAACACTTTTTCCACCAGAACGGTGAAAACAGAGGAAGAGTAACTTCTCATCATCTTTCTGCGGATCGGGTCTTGCAGATCCTCCCCTGTTTCATCGACCTGACAAGCCGGAATAGGGAGGAGTAGGATTGCCGGAACATCCGTCTCCGTTCTTGTTCTCCTGCTCCTCCCGAATCGGCCGCCGACGGCGGTGAATTTCAAGAAGGCTCCGGCGACGCCACCATGAGCACCGACCCATCACGGGGAGACGACCGCGGCGACGGCGGCGGCGGCGAGCCGGACCGAGACGAGGAGTCCAATACCCTGTTACCCCTTCCCCAGGCCCCGCCCTCACCCGGCGACGGCGACGGCGACGGCGATGACGAGGACGAGGTCGCGTTCCAGTCCCGAGAGAAGATCCTCATCGTCGACGTGGAGTCCGCGGACGCGACGGCGGCGGCGAGCCCGCGCTTCTCGTGGAAGAAGCTGTGGCTGTTCACGGGTCCGGGTTTCTTGATGAGCATAGCGTTCCTGGATCCGGGCAACCTGGAGGGCGATCTGCAGGCGGGCGCTATTGCTGGGTACTCGCTCCTGTGGCTCCTCATGTGGGCCACGGTCATGGGTCTGCTGATCCAGTTGCTGTCTGCCCGGGTTGGAGTCGCGACGGGCCGGCACCTGGCGGAGCTGTGCCGGGAGGAGTACCCTGATTGGGCGAGGTTAGTGCTATGGTTCATGGCGGAGGTGGCTTTGATCGGGGCTGACATACAGGAGGTTATTGGGAGTGCTATTGCCATTCAGATTCTGAGTAATGGGCACTTGCCGCTTTGGGCTGGAGTCCTAATTACAGCATCAGACTGGTAGGTAATTACAATCTTTCGTTTGTTGGTTGATCACTGTGGTTCTTGAGGTAAATAAATGCTATGCGGCTGTTAATCTTTGATGTAGATGTTTCTGTAAGTGTGGTGTTTCTGAGTGTTACATAGTTTTCGTTATCATGGCGAGTCTCCATTTTTATAGGGTGACTACTCTAGGATCAAGCTTGGGTAGCTGGCGGTGGATAGAAAGCACAGTACTTTTGTTGATCTAGTCAAGTTAATTTTGTGCGCTTGTGTGTTTCCTTTTGATTTTGTTGGTTGATTCAGTTGACCAACAGTTTATGGGATGGGAGATTAGACTAGGAGCTGAATATGCCAGGGTATTGTCGGTTAAGTTGTTGGCAGTTGATACATTCTCTTAGTGAGTATGGAGATGGACTCTGTTAACCTTCAGAATGCGAAAATGCACAAGACTGTAGATTGATTGGTTTAGCATGAATGGAATTTTTGTCTCTTCTTCTCCATATCACTGGTAGATTGCTACTGAAAGTGATTTGCGCATCTTGATGCTGGAGTAATGCAACCTAATTGCTTCTGCAAGCTTCTTTCTTTGGTGATGATCGCTGTTCTCTTTCTGACATCTCTGTTTCCCCCAATGTTAACAGTTTCATGTTCTTGTTTCTGGAGAACTACGGAGTCAGAAAATTGGAGGCTCTGTTTGCCGTGCTCATTGGAACCATGGCTTTGTCATTTGCCTGGATGTTTGGTGATACAAAGCCCAGTGGCAAAGAGCTTTTAGCTGGTGAGAATCCTGTAACGTTATTTTCTGTTCTTTCATCAAACATTACCTGAGAGATGTGACTTGTAGCTGGCTTGTTCTGCTAACTGCTTCTTAAAAAAGTCATATTTTTGCTGGTTTTGTAGGTCTTTTGATTCCAAGACTTGGCTCTAAAACAATTCGTCAAGCTGTGGGAGTTGTGGGGTGCGTCATAATGCCTCACAATGTATTTCTGCACTCTGCTCTGGTCCAGTCTAGGAAAATTGATCCTGAGAAGAAGAGCAGTGTTAAAGAGGCTATAAAGTACTATTCTATTGAGTCGTCTGTGGCCCTCCTAGTCTCATTTATGATCAACTTGTTTGTCACAACAGTTTTTGCCAAAGGATTTTATGGTACAAAACAAGCGCAAAATATAGGACTTGTAAATGCAGGCCAATATCTTGAAGAAAAATATGGGGGAGGAATCTTTCCTATTCTTTACATTTGGGGCATCGGATTATTGGCAGCGGGACAGAGCAGCACAATTACTGGAACATATGCTGGACAATTTATCATGGGTGGTTTCCTTAACCTCCGTTTAAAGAAATGGCTGAGGGCATTGATCACACGTAGCTTTGCAATTGTGCCGACTATTATAGTAGCTGTTGTTTTTAACACATCCGAAGCATCATTGGACGTTTTGAACGAATGGCTCAATGTGCTTCAATCTATGCAGATCCCTTTTGCTCTCATACCCCTTCTTACATTAGTATCAAAGGAGCAGGTCATGGGTATTTTTAAGATTGGACCGACTCTTCAGGTGAGTTGATATGACTTCAATATTTGTTGTACTGCTCTAGTCGAATAGAACTGTTAGTGCTTTCTTCTTGTTGGATTACTTAGAAGATGCCTAGATAAAGACTATTCTTGGTGATGTCGTATCTCCTGCTCATCCTCAGGATTGCTCCATAAACTTGTGGTATAGTTAGGTAAGGGGGACACTAAATGAGCTTACCTTCCATATGTCTGTCATACACGTACTATTGCCACCTGACGTTTTTCCTTTTATGTTCTGAAATGCAATCGACAAAGGTTTAGTCATGATTTATTGGTCTTGTTTTGTGAGTTTCACAATCGAAAGCCTTGCTGTGACAACAAGGTTGCTCATTCATGAAATGGAAGGAATGCATTCAAGTAGCAGTCTGAGCCTGCATTTCATGGGGGAGGTTAAAGATATCTGGCCCTCCCCATTCCTCACAACCTTGAGTGCAGTTCTGTCTATGTTTGTTTCTAGGAGTTTCACATCTTGGTTCATAGCTGGCATGGTGGCACCATGAACTTTTCTAGTCTTGTACTAAATTTTACCAATGGGTTAGGGTTAATAGTATGGTTTTGAGCAAGACTTGTATTGACATTGACATGATAAGGGGGAGACTTGTGTTCTAAGATATTGAACTTCTGGTGTCGCGAATTCTTCTGATTAATTTTATGCCTCCCTCTGATGAATGATGATTGTGGTGATGACGCTTCAGGTCTAAAACTCTGACTGTCCTATTTCTTAGTGCCAATACAAGTAAAAAGAGAGTGAGTTACTGAGGAATTCTACTTGTTAGTGTTGAACTGGGGTACATATAAGCCCAGATGTCTTAATACTTTGTTGATGTAAGATTTGCCTCCTTTACATATCCCTCTCGACCATTTTACTAAGTTCTGCATAAATATTCTCTGCCATGTATTTTAAGAGCTAAAAAAGTGTATTCTAGGTGGAGCTAGTTTGGTGTCGTTTAATCTTGATTTGTCTGTTAGAGTTTCAGCAATTAAGTCACAATATTTTTTAGCGAATACTGTCGTGATTGTGTGCATGTCAATTATGCTGCTAGCTTCCCTCATGTGGTTTTTTGTGAGTATGTGGCGTAGTGCCCGACTAAAAGCCCGTTTGGCATTTAACTTATGTTTGTAGAATATTTTTAAGTACCAAGCAGTTCAAAATATATGCAAGTCAGACTTTCTTTAACACTGGGAAATTCCTCCATGACGACACTCTGGAAGTTGAACATATATTGCATAATTTATCCATAGAAATTACTAGCAGAGAGCTAGCTGACCGAATTTCTGTAAAAGAGAGCATCTATGCCAGTACTTATCAAAGGACTGGTATATATAAAAACCGTGTTTTGCTCAACTTGGTGAACACATTTTTGTTGTACTCACCAAGTGGATATAATCGGTTTTCTGACTTGTCTTCAAGACTGTGAATGTATGACGTCCTCACTTCAGAATTTGTTGCCCTTTTACTTTAAGACAACATACAGAAGTACTACCATTCTGTCTTTTGGTGATGTCACGTGATACTTTTTGATAAAATGATGCAGAGGGTGGCATGGGCTGTGGCGTCACTGGTGATGATGATCAATGGGTACCTGTTGTTGGATTTCTTCATTTCCGAAGTTAGGGGAGTGCTGTTTGGTTCCGTTGTGCTTAGCATCACCGCTGCATATGTAGCATTCATTGTTTACCTCATTCCACGAGATGGACCACCCTCAATCCTGTGGAAGAGCTTTGCCCGATGACAACTGCTTCCTGGTTCTCTTCCCTGTTAGACAAGTTTTGATTGACGGAAGATCTGTGGCAGTGCTAGAGGGCTCCTTATCTGCGAATTCTGGCAGACACGCTTGATCTTTCATGATGATACACAATTGGGGATGAATGACTTCATTTGGGTGTCCCGTTCGGAGCGAAGAAATCTAAGGTCAACCGAACCTTTTGCATAGTGCTCTGATTTCATATGCAACCCGATGCAGGATTCCCCTTTTCCACTTTACCCGATCATGCTATCTCTTGGAGACCTGCAACTGCGAGATGATCTGTTTATCTTGTAAAGTCTGATTTGTTTTTAAGTTTCTTTAGAGCAAGATGGTTACTCATTCTTACTTTTTCTTTTTTTCGGTTATATGAGCTGTGTATCATAGTTAAATATCTGACTTTTGCTACTCAAGATTAGTGTGAGAAAGGTGGTATACAGGAGCGAAATTTCTGAGGAGGGTCTGTTGAAGATTGCCATTTCTCTGATGGCTGCATGATACATGTGAAGAAATACTGTCATCCCCTCCTTCATTGAGATGACTAAATTCTTCTTCGCATGTTCACTTGAAGTCGGGTAATGAGACGACTAAACCATCATGATGGACATTGGACTCCTCAGTTGGACGGTCTATCGTTGGCGGGTAGCTTGTTCTCGTTGACCTGCAATTTTTGTATTATAAAAGTGGGGTCTAGGATTTTTAATTGGAATCTAATTTAGCCCCGAATCCTCAATTAGGTACTAAGAAATGGCTTAAATGACGTCGTTCTGATGACATGGTTTCTTTAGTAAGTCGGATTATTTACGTGGGAAGGGAAATCGCCGATATCACTCAACTGAATATTAGTTTTAAAGATATACTACCTTAGTGATCATTTGAAAAATTATGATACCAGAGTGAGCATCGTTTAACAATTATGATATTGTAAGTATTATTTTCCATTGAAAATTGTTTCTGTCTACTAACGTCCACTTTTCATCAATCGGTCTTCTTAATCTCTAAATTAGACTTGCACCGATTTTTACTTCTCTTGTATAGTTACTTATATTCTTCTCTCTGTGCTGATTTTTACATTTTAATAACCACAATACCCCTAAATCTTGTACCCAGACTATATTTGATTAGCAGTAATATCTATTGGGAAAATTACCCAATCAGTCATAAATCTATTATACGAATGTCAATTCAGTCCTAAATTTTTTCAATTTTGCTAATCTAGTCCTATAATTTTGCGTGAAATTCCAATATAGCCCTCCAGGTCAATTTTTGCCAAAAATCTCTAACATGGCGATTCAATCATTGCCAGCCGTTCTACATGGCACATCGCCGTATCAGTAATTTCTGGAGAAAAAAAAAACTTCATTAGAATTTTTTGCAAATGTTTATAACTAAATTAGTAAAATTAAAAAAAAATTAGGATCGAATTAGCAGGCCAATAGTTTGGAACTGATTGGACAATTTCCCCGTCGAGTAGTTGTCTACATGTTTACAAAGAGAATTGTGCTTCATGGAATGACCTTCACTTTTGCGCGTAGTCATCGCAATATGGCCCACTAATTCATAAACATTATCAAGTTTCTTTATGCCGATGACATATGCTCTAATTTCCCTTTTTAAATTAGCTTGCAATCATGTATAATTTTCCGACTATAAAATTTCTAAGTAAATTAACCTCTCAGTCGTTTTATATATACTTTGTGACAAGATTCACTTAAACCTTATCTTAAAATTTATTCATGCGGAATAAGTTTATCTTTCTCCTCAAAAGTTTACAATTTCATATTTAGCTTCGAGTTTTCTTTAGTAGTATATATTTACGTAAAATAGTTTTGGCATGAGTATGAATAAGATGTTTCATTATCTTTAAACAACAATACCATAATGTCTACACTATATAAAAAAAGAAAAAGAAAACTTTCCACAACGCAATCGTCACGACATTGACAAATCCCGTCCACCATCACAATTTATAAAATAACGCAAATTTATAAGTTAGTCTAATCTTTAAATCGGTTTGTTTCTATGGTTAATCCAATTAAATTAAAATTAAAAAGGATATTTTTCCAAACCCACCAAACTATTTGATAATATTGTCCTTCAATGAGAGCAATCTTTTCTTTTCTGTTTTGAACCAATTCGATACTTGACCTATTAAACTTTTTCCTTTTACATATATAATTTGGCTTATATGTCTTATCATTTGCACAGTATCTAGTAACTAGGGGTACTGGTCAACAAGTCAGTTAATAGATACTGTGCAACGCACAGGCTGACCAGTAAGAAACCGGAGCTTCCCCTTCTATCACCCCAGGCGCAGGATGCTATTATAACTGTCTACCTTATTAGTCGCAACTGATGTGGTGTTTACCTTCACCACTCAAAAGGCAGGAGATTTCCTGCACCATACCGAGGAGTCGTTTTTCCTATTTCTTTGTGAACCTTTTAAGATTCTGCTCAGGACCAATGCTTCAATTTATATGACGAGTCATAATATTGATAGTCAACAACCCTTAATTTGGAGAGGTAGGTCGGATATTGACCGAGTCTATACAAACCAATATAATCACTAATTACGAGGATTTCACTATAGAACTTACTTTATCGTAGGTCAAAACTGTATAAAATTTCTCCATTCATTCCAAAAGATTCTACGTAAACCGAACTGGCATCATCATAAACGTTAATCACATGAGTCCTCGTGCGAGAGGCTTACGAAATCAAGAAATCATGATCACAGCGGTGTGTGCAACCGAATCTCGGCGAGATATTTCCATCGTCCTTTCAAAAAAAAAAAATCCTGTTATCCTTTGGTACGGAATTCGGAAAAAAGAAAAAAGAAGGGGAAAAAAAGAAATTCTATTGGTCAACCAAGTGGGGGTCCCCCCTCTCCCTGCCTCTCTCTCTCTCTCTCTCCTAGCTTCTTCCGCGAAACCTATAAAACCCTCGTTTCAAAAGGCAGAACCAAACACAGCACGAGCAGAGAGAGAAAAACCCTTTCGTCAAACCCTATCTATCTCCAAGACTCAAAACCTCCCAGTTTTCCCAGGGTCAATCTTTGGAGGAAGGAAGGAAAGAAGGAAGGAAGGGACTCTCTCTTTTCTTCGGAGTCGTCAAGCTCTTTCCTATTCGATCTCGGCTTTCCTGATATGTCCCCCTTCAAAGAAGATTCATCCCCAAGTCTCACCTGATCTCCCTATATAAATCCCCCTCACACCCCCACCAAAACACCTCCCCGTGAGTTTCACCCCCCAGAAACCCCAATCTTTCCGTCTACGTGACCGCCGTGATCTGCCTTACACCTCCCCCCTGTCCCTCTTCTCGACAGCTATGGAACACGCCACCGACGATCGGTCTTTTGGGGCCACCGCGTTCGCTGCTCCGGCGCGCTCCGTCTTCGCGGGCCTCGGCTTCCCAGATCCTGGCACTTCGTCGCGAAACCCTCCTCCTCTCGGAAGCCACTGTGATGCTCAGTCGCTCGAGGATGGCTTTCGTAGCCTCCGTCTCTCGCCCCCGAATCGGCAATCTCCGCATTCGGGATTCGCTGGTGATGTTCTTGGTGCGTACCCACGTGCGTCCCCTACTGATGTTTCCGGCGTCGGTGTTTCTAGGACTGATGGTTATGATGTGAGTCGTCAGAGCGCAGATTCGATTGGCTCTGGCCAGAATATTTTTAGGTTCAACTATGGTCCTTCTGTAAACGTTAAGTCTTTGAGCAATCACTCTCCTGCGTTGCTCGGTAATGGCTGGATTCAGACCGATCCCAATGTGTTTGCCATGGCTGGTTCCAGGGAGAGACTGTCTGTCGAGAATCTCCCATTTCTGCCTGCCTTGGGTGGAGCCGGTTCTTGTAATTATAACTCGAGATTCTCGAGGCCGAATGTGAGTAATAGCCGGCTTTTCGAGGCACACAGGACCCCGGTTTCCTCAGCAGCGATGCACAACTTGCGCCGAAACGTACTGTTGTCCACTAGGAATGGTTCTCGTTCGTTGCTGAGGACTAGGGAACCTCTCGACAAGGAGAAAGTAGCTAGGATTTTCGATCAGGTAATCGACCGTGTAGGTGACTTTATGATTCATCAGACTTGGAACCATGTGATACAGAATCTTGTGGAGGTCTGCAACGAAGAGCAGAGGACTCGGATCCTGGAGAAGGTGACCCTTCAGGAACCCCTACTAGTCAGGATTTGTCTGGACTCGTATGGGTGGGTTAATGCTTTCCTACTCCTCTTTTTTCCAATGAGATTGTTGTATTAGTTGCTGATCATTATGTAAGCATTGCCCTTTCGCAGAATCCACGCGGTGAAGAAACTACTGGACCATGTTACAACGCCATATCAGATGGCCCTGGTCGTATCGGCTTTGTTGCCCGGCGTGGTCTCGCTGGCTCTGGAGAGGAATGGTGTGATTGAGCATTGCTTGCAGAACTTCCCTCATGAATATACAGAGGTAATGTGTGCAAGTAATCTTGCTTAAGCTTGCAGCATTGCCTAGTGAATTTGTTAGTGTCTTCTGCAACTTTCTGAGATGCCTTGAATTCTTAGTTGAGTGTTTGAAAATTCTTATATTGTGTTGTTCCTACAGCCTAGGGCACAACGTTTTGCCATTAAGAATTAGAAACTGTACAAGTAATGTAATATAATTCGTAGCATATCATGTATTCGCGTACTTTCTAATAGAAAGTTTTGCAATCCTAGCTAAAGCATGTATTTAGGTATGAAAAAACAATTTTAATATATTAAAATTTTTTAAATTTTTTTTAAAAAAGATAAGGGAGGGTCCAAACCCCATGTGTGTTCTTTCTTATGTAAATTAACATTCGCGCAGAAAAGAAATATGCTCTGTAAATTAATTTAGTACTTATCCTACCCAAAAATTAGTTAATATTAAATCTATTAATTTTATTAAATTTATACCATAATTAAACTGTACAAATCAATTTGCTTGCTCGACAAACTTTCATTTTTTCCCTAGTATCTAATTGTATATTAGACGAATTCAAATCTGATTTGTTCCATCCAACAAAAATTTAAATGGTATGGGGCATATCTAGGCATGGCGACATATACTGGCGATCTTCCCATCTTTTCTTCCATTTGTTAGAATTGTATTTTTAATTGAGCTTAAGAACAAAGCACCATATATAACTGATGAAGATCAAATAAGCGACTCTAGAGTACATGAACATCACAACATTCTGAGCTTGGTCTTGCCATTTTCTTGTGCCACAAGTGATGAAATGTTAATTGTTTAGTTTGTGCACTCGCTCCAAATCTTATTTGCAGCCCCTTTTGGTGGTGATGGCGAATAATTGCTACGACATTGCAACCAATCAAAACGGGTGTTGCACACTGCAAGCTTGCATCAACTATTCCGACGGAGCGAGCCGAGAGCACCTCTTGGCCGAGCTAACATCATATTCCCTGCAATTAGCTCAAGACGAATACGGGTTCGTTTCCGCTTTAGTTGTCTTCGGTCTTTCATTTCATGAATGTGAAGGTTCTTCAAACATTTGTTTTTTTCTTTGCTTCAGCAACTATGTGGTGCAGAGTTTACTGAGTTTGATGATGCCGGGCGTTACGAACAAGGTTCTAGAAGTGCTTCGAGGTAGTTTTCTCCCTTTGTCGACTAACAAGTATGCTTCTCATGTGGTCGAGAAATGCTTCAATACCCTCGAGGAAGCGCAGTCCAGACATATTGCGTTGGAGTTGACGACGAGCTCGAGTTGCCCAAAACTTTTCACCAATAAATTCGGAAACTATGTCGCCCAAAAGTTGCTGGAAGTAGCGCACCAGGTTAGATCCGGTGCACAATTTTACTCTTCAAACCTTCTTTCTTTTCTCATTATGCATGCTAATGCTTGAAGCTCGTCGTGCTTATTATTCCATGCTTAGTTTTGGGGGCTGATTTTCAACTATCTGGAGGTGCTGATTGGAGAGCGCGAGTCACAGCTCGCAAACAATCCTTACGGTAAAAACGTATTGGCCAAGCTTAGGGAGTTGCAGAGGCGCAGACGCGGCGTATGACTATGTGCAGTAGTGTTGTGATTCGAATCAACCCAAGTGTTTGTCTCTCTCTAGTTTGATTGCACTGGGTGATATACCAAACAATCCTAGGCTAACATCAATATACTATGTGCGAGTGCAATATTGTAGGGTGTAGAGCTTGTTCCCATTAGTAAAGAAGGTCTTTTGTTGTTTTGGATGGTAAGGGCATGTTTTGTGGGGTTTTTACTAGTTTTTGCGGTGATTGAAGGTGTGTTTTGTGTTTATCGACACTGCGATTTCACATCGCTTTCTGTTTTATATATCGAGGAGGTTTTCTTTTGAGTTATGCTCATTTTAATTCATGCAATACAAGTTTGAGCATTGTCTTATTTGTCTTTTGGTTCATAGTCGCAAAAAAATCACTACTAGACGAGTTTGATGGATGGAGGAGGACACACTTAATACTCGAGCATGTTCTCAATTTCCTTTGAACTTGTGTTCAAGATTTTGTTCAGATCATAGGATTAATATCCCGCGAATTGGTACGCTATCGATAAAATTTTCTAACCTAATGATAATTGGCTGGCCGCTTCCTAACGGCTAGCTTTTTTAATTCTTTTTCTAATTATACATGACGATTTGTATTACACCTATATACAGTTCAATCTGAGAATTAAACTCTTTCTTCGAAGTGTTGATTGACTTGATTCTGTTAAAATAGAGTCTTAGTGCACTTGCTATTGCATGACCAAAGTGAAACCATACATAATACACCGTCCAGCTTTTCAAAAGGGGCAAGTACTTGTATATGCAGCTAGCTAAGCTAATTTCCAGCTATTTCAATTCACTCTTTAGTTTCGACCAAAAGAAAAATCACTCTTTAGTCCCGCAAGACACCAGCAGAGTAACCTTGTCATTTCAAGTCTTTGTATACAGAAGTTTTCAAGACGTACGATTACCCTTATGAATTAGCAAATTTCACCATCCATAGTATTGTATTTATGCCGCACATAGTTTTTTTTTTGTACAGTGTAAACATATAAAACCGCAATATTCAAAGTTGTTGACAGCTAAATTTTCACTAATTATTTAGTAATTCATTGCATAGAAAATTAGGACTCGATCCGGACCTTTGGTGAGGGCCGTCGAGGGGCGGCCTCACCTAGCCCTTGTCGGCCCTTGCCAAAGGCTGGTGAGGGTGTCCCGGCCCTCTCCCTCATCAGCAGTCAGCAACCTCCGTCGGCTGGTGACTGGCGGAGGGTAATAAGGAAAAAAGAAAAAGAGAAAGGAAGGAAAAAAAGAAAAGAATGAAAAGAGAAGAAAAAAAGTAAAGGAAAAGGAGAAGAAAAAATTAATAAAAGATTCAAAAAATTATTTTAAAATGTCCACGTCAGTGTTGGCTATGCCACGTAGGAAACAATGAGTATCCACGTCAGCAATTTCCGGCCTAAATTGGCCAGATGGATTGAATTGGTACTAATGTGAAAATTTTTAAGACTAAATTGGTCCAATTGAAATATTGATGACTAAATTGGTACCAATGAAATAGGTTAATGACTTTTTTGGTACTTTTCCCCATTTAAAGAATGAACTCTATTAGATTGGTCCATATATAAGTAAACCTCACACTATTTAAATATTTCTTGTTTAACCAACTCTTTTGCTCTCCTATAATGGATACTTTTGCTTCATAGGACATTAGCTTTGAAGTTTGGTCTCAAATAACAATAGCTACCAGATGCCAGCATATATCTTCAAAAGATTTATACTTAGGAACCTAAATCTATGCCCGGCACCCGGGTTGAGACCTTTGTTTGACGAATGGAGGACTGACTTTGAACCATCATCGACCAAGTAGAGAAAAAACAATGTCTCTAACGACAGGAGGATGCGAGGGAATATGATTGCACAAGAAAGAGACTGCGAAGAACGAAGTAGTTCTTTCAAACTTCTTCGTGAATGACAATTTGTTCAAAGATGATTTGCTCTTGCAAGCAACCATGTGTAAACGCCAATTAAAAAGAAGAAAAAAAAAATCACTAAAAGAGTCACGTATCTCTAAATGCAAGGGAAAGGGAAAATTACCAAAAAAGTCCTAAACCTTTTGCAATTGTGCCAATTCAGTCCTAAACCTTTTTTTTTTGCCATTTCAGTCCTAAACCTTTTACAATTGTGCCAATTCAATCCATCCGGCCACTTTTGGCCAGCCGGCGCTAATGTGGACGCCGGGCGGCTAACGTGGCATTATTTTAATATTTTTTTCCTTTTTTTTTTTCCCCTTCTTCCCCCTGGTCGGACCGGCCAAGGGGAGGCTCGCCGGCGAGGTGACCTCGCCGGCCATGGCGAGGCCGACCTCGCTGGCCATGGGCGAGGCCGACCTCGCTGGCCATGGGCGAGGTCGAGCTCGCCGGCCATGGGCGACGGCGAGGCCTCGCCCAGATCTGGCGAGACCTCGCCGTCGCTGGGCGAGCTCGACCTCGTCCGACCATGGCGAGGTCGAGCTCACCGGCCATGGGCAAGGCCGAGCTCGCCCGACAACGGCGAGGCCTTGCCCAGATCTGGCGAGACCTCGCCGTCGCCGGGCGAGCTCGACCTCGCCCAGCGACGGCAAGGTCTCGCCAGATCCGGGCGAGGCCTCGCCGTCGCCCATGGCCGGCAAGCTCGACCTCGCCATGGCCGGCAAGGTCACCTCGCGGGCGAGCCTCCCCCTGGCCGGACCGGCCAGGGGGAAGAAGGAAAAAAAAATATTAAAATAATGCCACGTTAAAATAATGCCACGTCAGCCGGCCGGCCAAAAGTGGCCGGATGGACTGAATTGGCACAATTGTAAAAGGTTTAGGACTGAAATGGCAAAAAAAAATGGTTTAGGACTGAATTGACATAATTTCAAAAGGTTTAGGACTTTTTTGGTAATTTTCCCCAAGGGAAATGATAACCAGGTTGGTGCTGATTTGATATTTACTGAATATTGGCCCAAGAAATGTTTCTCTCAGTCATGACAATATGTTTAATCATTGACATGGTAGATTATTGCGTTTAATCATTGACATGGTAGATTATTGCGTCACACCGACCAAAACATGTGTGCCGGGCATGCAGTCTTGGGCTTCTCTCACCCAAAAATCTAGCTCAAAAGTTAAGGCTTTTTCTCACATTTATAAACTGACCTCCAGCCCCTTTCACAATCGATGTGGGACAACCCCAACATAATATTCTACCATATAGACCGCACTAATTAACGCACTTGGACTATCCCTTGGAGTTCTTCATGTCTCGGTGGGCACTCGTCCTTGTAGCCGTACGTCCCGGACAAGACGCACTGACATTTTTCGCAGCAAATCCCACAGCACTCCGAGCACCGGTCCATCCTTCCCGCCTTCGAGCACCTGGCCGTGCTCTTGGAGTCGCAAAAGCCTTCAAAACACACGAAACTAACACAAAGTGTACGTGCAACGTATCAGAACATCAACAAGACCATCTTAAAGAGAATACCGAAACGCCCAAGGTGGATTGAGTTAAAAGAGAGCTTTACTTGAACCAGCCATGGTGGCGTCGAAGAAGGAGGAGCTGAGGAGAAGAGCCACCAGAAGAAAAAGTTGCGAAAGCAAGGTTCTTCATCTTCCCAAATGTAATGCTATTATAAGAATGGCGTGCATATACGTATGTGTAAGATCAGAGAGCCAAACAGAGAGAAATTAGCAAAAGAGGAGATAGAAAGAGTCTTGTGGTTGATGTGTGCAAGGCGGTAATGGAATGGGCGAGTGGGAGGGTGTTTATATAGGTAGAGATTGGCGTGTATATACGTATGTGTAATGAACTTCATCAGTAAGGAAAATGATTTCCTAACAAAAATGTTTTTCCCTTTTCAGTTTAGGGAATTCATTTTCAAACAAACCAAATGTGTGAAAGTCTAAAAAACTAGTTCGTGGAGAGTTCTTTCACTCAGACAAATTAACTCTTATTTGAAATTGAATGGGTTTTTTTGGTTCCTCTATTGATGTCTTATCTTGCTATCGGCCCTATATTTTGCATAACTTCTTGGCCGATGAGGCCATAGCATACAAGCTGGTAACAGTAACACTAGCACCACATCGGCAGTGGCACCTAATCCCGGCTTGCATTTAAGCTTCTTCGGAATTGTTGAATCGAACGACGACGGTGCTTACGAGTTGGGGTTGGATTCGAGACTTATAACTATAAATTACCTGAATCTTTTTTTTTCTCCCCTTTGCTTCCATGAGAGCTTGATTCTTACTGAGTGTGCACAAAATATCATACCTCTAACATAGGGTTGTTTGGAAGGCGTTGGATCGGGTCTGATTTATATAATTCGTTAGATGAGGTGAGAATCACGTGATATGTGAATTGCAATGAATGCAGGCAATACCTACTCGGGTTTAGGATGTGATTGAAGAGAGCACCGTAAGCACAATTTCAAGAGTCACCTTTTAACATTTAGGTTCCGTTTGTTTCTAATTTAATCTAACAATTAAGTAAATGCAATGGAAAATATTACTAGGTTGGTGTGGATTTGTTATTTACTGATTATTGGCCCGAGAAAAGTCACTCTCAATCGATGACGATATGTTTTATCCTTGAAATGATAGATTATCGTGGCGTGTTGATTTTTAATTGTGTCATTTTTCCATTTCAAGTACCGCGTGTAGAAGCTTTTGAGACAGACGATTACCACTCTTGAGTACAAATCGCACTATATTATCTATCCATTGGATCGCATCACATGTCATGTGTCGCTTTTTATATACTCTGCACATTTGTCCATGATTTTCCCCGAAATATTTACTAATATACCCAATGCTTCCTTTCCTAAGGATTAGAGCGCAATAATTTGAGGAAGTTAAGTAAACGATTTATTCTTCATTCGTTCTACAATAAACACACTAACAGTGACAATATCAACA